CGTCCCTTGTGGCGGGGGCGGGAGACAGTTTTAGTGGGTATGCGTGGAAACCGTCCCTCTTCTAGGGGCGCCGGAAGCGAGAGTCTCACACTATCTGGGCTATCCTCCCAGATGTCCGTTACTGGAATTGCAAAAAGATGCAATACATGTGTGGGCGGGGAAGGGGCTCTCCCTCACCCCCCCAAATCTAACCCTACCCACACCAATTCTCTGGTAACTTTAATAACTTTTTAATAAAAAACGAGCGATGGCTAAAACCTTCTGAAGGTCACTCAGGATGGTGACCTTGACAACATATGTCAAGGTCAAGGTCATCGGAGCTGGCTGCCTCCATCAGTATATTCACCCAATTTTTCACTAATATCTCGAAAACTAAAGCTTTCCGCGAAATTTGTATATGAACAAAATTGTTTAGAATCATGTCCGTGATAAGATATTAAAAGCGCACTAAAATCGAGTAAAGTTTATTTCAAAAGTTGCCGGTTGCTTTGCAATAACAATACTTTGCAATTAAAAAATGAAAAATTTTTTGATAATGGTACCAATGGGGAGTCAGAACCTACCAGATGCAAAAGGTTTCGTTCCGATCGGTCCACCCAGCTAGGCGTAATCGGTGAACATACATAGAAAAAAAAAAAATATACTGATCGAATTGAATAACCTCCTCCTTTTTCGAAATCGGTTAAGAATTCAATTTAAATTAGAATTAAAATGGCGAATTTACTGAAGTCGACGTCGATTTTGTTTACACATATTCAATAAGATTAAGTTTATTTGTTTTATTCATGACGTCATCACTCTAATCCTCATCTTATTATTTTTCTGTCATTTTTAATTTCCTAACCTTGCCATTTCGTTTCTTCTTGCTTATGGCTGTCAACTTCTCCATGTTTTTACTCTCCTCTCTGCCATCCTCTGCTGTCTTCTTACTTTGTTTTTATCAGCTATGTTATGTTTCACCATCTTCTTCCATCCGTTGCAGATTTTTTCCTTCTTGCTCGTGCTTGTGGCTACCACTTACCATGTAAACTTGGTATCTTTCTATTACCATTTTAAATTTACTACGTGTTCGCCTTAACGATGAAAGCCTTATCATACTCTATGGCAGGGGTCGGCAACCTGCGGTCCGCGGGCTGCATGCGGCCCTTTGCAACTTTTTGTGCGGCCCGCTAAAGCACCAATATAATTTTAGGAAAAATCAACAAACTTAGAGCGTGAGCGTGCCGAAATGTGGCAGGTGACAAAAATGCGCGCTAACAGAAGCATATTGGGAAACATATTTTACTGCGCAAGTTTAGTCCCCACCCCCAGCAAATACGACGGTTCGCTTAGCAAGTGCAGCATTCTTTCATT